AACAGGTCTTTTCCACAGAGTAGGCAAGATGGTGACCGGTGGTTTTAGACTCATTGTCTTAATCAGCTTTCCATGGCTGTGACAAAATACCTGAGACAGGTCAACTTAAAGGAGGAAAGGTTGATTTTGGCTCACGGTTTCAGAGGTTTCAGTCCACGGTCACTTGGGCCCATCCCTTTGAGCCTGTGTCGAGGCAGAACACCGTGGGTTCAGGAAGTGCATCACAGAGCAAAGCCCGGCAATATACCTTCAAGGTCATGGCCCTAGTGACTCAACTTCTCCAAACGAGGCTCCACCTCCCAAAGTGTGTATCCCTTCCCAATAGCACTGTCAATACACGGGCCTTTGGGGGACATGTAGGACCCAGATCATGACATATTCTCTCCCTGGTAACAGCAGAGTCCTGGACAGGCTCTCAGTCACCACCCAGCAGGTTGACGTTTCCCCGGATTAATCAGCGCTTTCCCCTTCAGAGGGGCATTTTGATTGGTTGGCCAGGCCCTGTACCATTGCCCAGGGACGTGGAGTCAACAGCTGACAGGCCCCTCAGGACGACCAGAGGTGGGCGCAGTATAGGAAAGGACACATGGATGTGTTGTTAGAGGAAGGAGATGAGAAGACGCAGTGACCCCTGAAGACCCTGGGAGCCAGAGTCCATGTCATTCACCAGGTTTGGGGCTCCTCGCCACAGCACGGGACTCTACCAGAAGGGCTCAGGCCAGATCCTGGGGTCACAGCCGCACTGACCAGGGCCCTCATTGCCCTTGTTCCAACACTCAAAAGGGCCCTCCCGGGTTGGCTCTCAGGTCTGGACTCACGGCCTGTCTTAGAGTGGGCACTCAGGGGAAGCTCCACCAGCAGGACTTGCTTGGATACAGTCCTGGACACACCAGGGGTGCTCAGAAAGGACCGCCTCATCTGTCCCTCACCGGGTCCTGTCCCTCCCTCGCTGCACATCTTTGTCTTCTTGCCTCCAGACAATCAAGCAGAGTTGAAGGAGGTGGGACCCAGAGCTGCCCTGCCCCAGGTAAATGAGTGAGTGAGGGAGCCAGGGAGTGCTTGGTTGGCCTAACCAACTGTGCAGGTGGAGTACCAAGACACCCCCTCCCCCGGGGATGGGCACGAGGCATCTCTGGCCAGCTCAAGCCTGGGAGCCATCATATCCCAAGTCAATTTTCAGACTTAGAACAAAAATGCATATCTATTCCCCTCCCGTTCTCTCTGCTTCCCCTCCCAAAAGAACGCGTCTGCGAGGACAGATGGCCCTGTGTCAGCGTCCCTGTGTGATATTGATGTGAACGGCGAGAGAAGGCAACGTGTCTCGTGGCTGTAAAAATAGACGTGCATTAGGAATGCATGAAGTCAGACTCCTCCTCCGGCCACGCCAGGCGCTATTCTAAACCCGGCGCTCATGGGCTTGGTATCCAGCCACCCGGCAAGGCAGAGCAGTGGTCTGGAACTTGACATTTAAAGGGTTTGAAAGAAATAGAAAGAGGCATGGAGATTTCTTTTTTAAGTCAGTCTGGCTATTTCTGAATGGGACCTGCCAATGAAGCAGATCAAATTCACACATTTTTGAACCACAGCGTCTGAGAGATGGTGGGGGCTGTGGAGAGCTTCTTGCTCCCAACGCAGGGACTCCTTTTCCCGGAGCCTCTGCTAGTTGGTTGTCTGGTTTCTTCTTGGATACCCTGAGTGACGGGGTGATCGTCACCTTGTGGATGGCGTTTCTTTGGTGGACATTGTCAGATGCCTCTGGCTGCGGCGGGACAGGGCTTTTAGAACAACACTCACTGGATAGCCACCTCTCTGAAGTGTTCCTCCATGGACTGTGGGGTTTAGGCCATTTTATGATCTTGAAATTGACATCCATGGCTATGTGTTGGGCTCCAGTTACGTGCTCAGCCCTGCTGGAGAAGCTGTAGAGGCTAAAAGAGAAGACCGAGTTTCCCCAGCCAGCTAACACACAATCTGGGGAGATAATGAACATGTGTGGAATAATGAGATAGTGCCTGGCGACAGGATATTATTAAACTTGACATTGTGTGATACTGCCTGTTTCCTTCCCCGTCAAAATCAGTGGCACTTTTTGCCACCCCCATGTTGGTTAGTGACACCGACATTTTAGCAATCTCTCTGGCTTGGGGGCTTGGGATGACCTTGACTTATTTTTACCGGCCTCTCCTTCCATCCAGTCCCTGGATGAGTCCCGCGAAGGCGCTGCTTGCCAGTGTCCCCCGTCCTCCATCTCTGCTCCCGGGGTCCACACTCCTTCCTGGGCTGGGCTTCGAGGCACCCTTGTAGCTTGGTGCTGTCTTCCTCCCTCGGGCGTTGCCTTTTTCTTGAATCTCCTCCTTCTCCCATGCTAGCCGTATGGCCGTGCCTGCAGATGCTTTCTGCTTGTTCCCCCCTGCACCTCGACTCCGGCATTCCCTGGGCCTCCCCTTCTTTCTGCCCCTCCACCTTCCATGGCTTCTTCAAGGTCCACTGTGAACGTGCCTTCTCCATGATCTCTGCATCTGGTGTCAACAAGTTGCTTATTTCCTGATGACCACAGTTTTCTCAATAAAAAAGCAGTCACCCCTTGAGCCCCCGATCTAGGCTCTGAAGCTTCACAGTCCCGTATGATAGAAAAAAAAAATACTGGGCTTGGTGTCACAAGGCCTGGGCTCAACTCATGGCTCCGCCATTGAGTGGCTGTGCTCTCAGGCAACTCCCTCTCATGGACCTCAGTCTCCACATCTGCACTGTGGGAGGAATTCCACCCACTGCCCGGGTTGCCGATGAGTTGAGACAATGAACATAGCAATTCTTGGCCAAATAAATAATGCCTTTCAGGTGTTGGTTATTATTATGCTTGTGCCTTATTTTAAAAGGGGAGGCAGGAGCTGGGCTTAGACCCTTTTGTATCCTTGGAATGTATAGCAGCAAGTATTTATTGGACACCTGCTGTTTGTCTATCCTGGTGCAATGCACGTTGGGGCTTAGAGTGCACGGCTGGTTTGCAGGCAGCTAGCTCACACTGCAGAGATAATGAGCACATGTGGAATAATGAGCCCGTGGGATCAGGCAGGGTGTTATTATATTTGATGTTGTGTGAGCCTGCCTGAAAGCAGGGTAGGAGTTCTGAGAAGGGGCTTAGGAGAGCGAGGGTGACCGGGATGGCTTCCTGGAAGAGGCGCTCAGAGCCAGAGCTTGCAGGGGAGTGTGGCAGGAAGAGAGCTGGGGACTCACCAGCTCTTCTTTGAGAAACACCTCATGGCAGAAACAATAGGAGGAAGAATTAGCAGAGCAGGCATCTGGGGCTTCTAGGGCACATGCCTTCCCAGCCCAGGTGAGCCTTGTGGAACGGAGAGTAGTCTACACCCAGGAACCGGGTCTCAGAGGGCGCAGGAGACAGAAGGAGACTGGGGAGGCCGCCAGTCACATGGTCAGTTTGGGTCGGCTGCTGGCTTACTCTAGGAAGAGTCGGGGTGTGGCTGTGAGCCCAGAAGCTCGGCGGTGGAAAGGAGATACAGGGGATGGGGTGCCTTTGGACATTCAGTGTCCCCACTCTGCTCTGTCACCGGCCTTTGCGGAGGGAGGCTCTAGGTTTGATTTTGGCTTCTCAAGAAGTGGGAGAGGGTCCTGGGTGCTCAGGCTACAAGCTCTGGCCCAACCAAGGGTGTGAGTGGGGCAGTGGGGACCAGAAAGAGGTCCTCCCTGGAATGGGTCGGGACACCACCACTTACCCAGGAGATGCAGTGAGACTCCTCTCCTACCTCTGAACTTCTCCCATCCAGAATTCACGCTATAGCTTCAGCTTTCTAAGGAGAGAGATTGGTGGCAACAGCAGGGGCTCTAGGCCAGGCCCGAGCTGACGTCCAGCACAGCCACTTTCTTGTGGTATGGCCTGGGGAAAGGTATGGAGCTCCCTGTCACCAGGGTCCTTCTCCGCAGTCAGCTCATCGCATACCTAAGGAGCACGTGAGGACTGGGGGACAATGCAGGCCTGGCTCAGAGGAGCTGGGTCAGCGGAGGCTCACCCAAGAGCCCCACCACTGGGGGCCTAGTGGCAAGTCCGCACTTCTTCCTGCTTTCTCTCCCTTCAGGGCTGGCTTCGAAGGGTCCGTGTGAGGAGGTCGACATCCCTGGGTTTTACACCCCACTCCATGAAAAGCCAGGGCTGAGGGACCGTCTTCACCTGGGGGCCCCCAAACTGGTCTTGTGTCCCCAGGTTGTCTGGCTGCCTGAAGCCATCCCACCTGAGGGTTTTTACTTGAGACCTCTGGAGGATTTCTCTTTTTTAAAAATAGTCCTTAAAGACAGACTACATGACACAAATAGAGATTCCTGGGGGCTGGGGATAAAGAATCTCTCCCATCTCCACCCTGCCTCCCCCTCCTCCTTTGCTCTCTGGTTCATCCTGAGAAGCAGGTTCTCTGTTGGTAAACGGAGGTCAGGATGGAGCCTTCACCGGGAAGCATCAGTGGCCCAGCTGGGAAGGCATGCTCCTGGGAGCCAGAAAGCAGTGTGAAGGAGTTCAAAGGGGTGCAGAGAGGGTGGGGCTGGGTGGGGGAACAGGTGCTGACTGCATTTTATATGCTGGGAGGAGTCATATTTCGCACCCAGTGTTCTCTGATTTGTCCTCCTCAGCTCCCCGGGGAGCCATACACACGCTGGGGACATTCATGAGCATTGTCCTTCTGGTGCACCCCAGGGAGAGGTGGGTAGTGGGAGATGCAGATTGTCCCCCGAGAAGGGATTTGGGATGGGACTTGTCTGGGTGGCATAGCCACCCACTGTACTCAGAGGTAGATTGAATATTAATTTGGGGAAGGACCTTAATGTGTGTGGGGGGGTGTTGAGACAATAGAGGGGCAAAAATCCCTAAAGCCATCTTCTGGTGTGACCTCTGACCCAGCCCTTGTGGGTCTGATATCATCAGCTCCATGCATTTCCTCCGGTGAGTGATTACTCACCATTGACCTGCTGGTTATTTTTGTTTGCTCTGCTTCCAGGTGTCTTCATTTTCCCAGCTCCTGGTGGAGATGGAGATATGCTATCGGGAGTCCTTTCAGAAAGTGCCCAGTCTTTACAGCCCAGCACCTCGAGAGCAGCCTCAGCCCCAGCTTGTTCAGGGGATGGGTGCTGCAGGCTGCTCAGCCCCAGTGAGAGCCGAGATACCGGCTGCTGATGCTTCCAGCCTCCTTTGTTCTTTTATTTGCCCAGCCCTGAGCAAACAAGCCACAATAAACTAAATGGCATTTGGATATTAAAAATGCAAAGAGAAAGTGCTCAAAGGACAATAAAGGAGTGAGCAGAGGTTGCCTGCGGGAGGAGATTACATTGTCCTGCTCTCCTCCAAAGCACCAGTCGTTTCCAAATAAGAAATGGTTATCTGAAGCCTGAGGAGGCCCTGTGTCAGTTTTGCTCGGCCTTATTTGACGGGATACTGACTCAGAATCTGATTTTGCAGGCAGGACATCAGCACACATCTTAGCTAGGCCCGATATAAGAAGACCGGGGCCAAAGTACCAGGGAATGAAATCTACCAAATCACATTATGTCCAGGTACAAATATACCACAATGAATACAGCTTTTATATATGATGACAATACACTAATTAAAATAATTAATAAAAGTCGAAGGGAGATTAGTAGAGTACAGCAAGGAGATTGGAGGAGGGAGAAGGAAGATACAAGGAATGAGATTGATCAAATCATGTTATGTGCATGCATAAATATGCCTAATGATTCCCACTATTATGTATAATTGTAAAGTACCAATAAAATTTTTCTTAAGAATGCACATGTGCATGTGCACACCAGATCTCAGAGGCCCTTAGCCTCTCTGGGAAGGAACACTAGATAAGAACAACTGGAGTATAACAAAGACCCAAATCAAGAGGCCATTACTTCACTTTGGTCCTCCCTGCTCATCAATGACTTCTTCCCCTCAGCAAAGCAGCACTGGGCTGGCTGTCCCTCGATGGTACAGAATTAGGTTTATACCTTCCCACAGTCAGTCAATTCGCTCTCATTAGATCAGGGCTCAGCAAACTATGGGCCATGTAATTTTTGCACATTAAGTTTTACTGGAACATGACTACTACGCTCGTTCATCTGTACGTCTGTGGCTGCCTTTTGTGTTTAGAAGGGCAGAGTCAGGTTACTGCCATAGAGATGGTCGGCTGAGCTGAAAATTACCTGGCCCTTTGCAGAAAAAGTTTGCTGACCCATGATTAGACCTAGGTGGAGAGTAGGGACTAGGTCTCTTCATATTTTAATCCCTAGGCACAATGCTTTTCAGAAGATGGACTTCTAGAAATGCTTAATTAAGGAAGTGTCCAAGCTGGAGAAAATGAAGAGCATCAAGAGGAAACAGTTAAATTGCTTAAGAGAAGAAGCCGGTTTCAAGGACTTTAAAAGCCTTCATTTACATGTACAGAGTTGATAAGCTAATTACACAACAATATTGTCCTAACCCGAAAAGCAGCCCCCTAAGGTCTTGTTAGATAACACCTTGTTAACCTAGTTCAAGGAAACCTGCTGTTTCTTGAAAATAATAAAAGTTCAATTTCTGTAATCCGCACTTGACTCTCCCCACCACTCCAACCTCTCTTTAGTCTGAATTCGACATTAAGTAGATATTTCCCCTCACTTGGAAATGACAGTGCAGATAATCAGCAGGCACTATGTGTTAGGTGTTTCTCAAAGTGTGGGTACCGATTGAGGGCGACAGGGTTTCCTCCATCACATCCTGCAGACCGGCTACTCAGGGACCACAGCTTTCTCAGGGCCTCGGGAAATGATTGCCACATGGAAATTTAAAACATGCTGCCTCCAAAATTAAGAATGCTTGCAACCGACCAAAACCAATATGAAAAAATGTTTAATTAAAATTCTACTAGGCAAATGACATTACGCCGACTCCAACTCAACTCCTAGAGTTACTTACAAATTATATTAAATGTGGGATATGAGCTCGTTTTAAGATGTTTGACACAATGCAGGGCTGGGGCCTCCAGATGTGGAAATAGGTCCACATTATGTAGGGTCCCAAACTTGTACAATTTTAGGAACTCTTTTTACAAATATAGATACAGCCATAACTTACTTCTGCAAAATTTACACAAATGTGACTGGTGAACGCTTTGTTAGGGTGGTTCCAGAGCAGCGATGGAAATCCAGGTTTCCTCAGCCTCCTGGCAAATATTCCCCTGAGAGGGTGGGAAGTTAAGATGGATTATAGTAGAATAAGCTTGGAAACTGCTGTCAATCCGTCTTAGAGAGTTATCAGTTCTAGAGTTCAGAAAGTTTACTTAACCCAAAGTTTTCACAACATTTTTAACTTTTTTTTTTTTGGTGGTGCTGGGGCTAGAATCCAGGGCCTGACATATGCTACACAAGCACTGTACCACTGAGCATGTCCCAGCCTCAAAATATGCATTTTTTTTTTGGCATAGAGACATGCTATGATTTGAATATGTCCCACAAAATTTTTGTTTTAGAAAATGAATCCCCCAATTCACATGCTAATGGTGTTTGGAAGCAGAGCCTTTGGGAGATAATTAGGGCTAGATGAGGTCATGAGGGTGGGAGTCCAATGATGGCATTAGTGGCTTATAAGAATAGTAGAGAACAAAGGTGGCACGCATGCTCTGTGGCCCCACGCCATGCCCTCCACCCTGCTATGATGCAGTAGAAGGCTCTTGCCAGATGCCCAGCAGATATCAGCACCATGCTTTTGGCCTTCCCAGCCTCCAGAACTCCGAGCCAGATAAATTACCTGGTCTTGGGTATTTTGTTATAGCAACAGAAAATGGACTAAGATGATAAGATCTCTCCGTTGAACAATTGCGAAACAGGCCAGGAAAGGTAGATTTAGTCCCTCTTGCCTATCCCACCCCCTTTTGTTTTATGGAGGAGGAAAGTGACTAGGCCTTGGGTCCCTCTGCTATCTCAGGCAAAACTGGGACTCTCCCTCCTTAGCCTCAGCCTCCAATCGCAGAGGCAGCAGAAAGGGTGTTTCCGTCAGTGTGGTTGGGGAGGAGATGGATTTGCTTAGAGGACAGGGTTAGAATTTCTAAGGTAACAAAACCGTTTCTTAAAAAATGAACACACAAACAAAAAAACATCTGCATCCCTGACTTTTTAAAAAATATCTATTTTTTTAGTTTTCAGTGGACACGACATCTTTATTTTCATGTGGTGCTAAGGATTGAATCCAATGCCCCACACATGCCAGGCGAGCATGCTACCATTTGAGCCACATCCCCAGCCCCCAGGCCTGACATTTTTTGGCTCAGAATTTTAAAATATAGGACATTTTGACTCAACCGAGGGCCGAGGAGGCTTGTGGGGGAGGATTCCTGTGCTTCCTTTTCCAGCAGTCTCACCTTGTTTTGCCTTTTAGCAGTTTGGCACAAGACCTGCGAAGTAATTTGCAAAATGAAGATGCTGGTGCACCTCCCGGGTCCCCTCTCCACCGTTCAAAAATGACTCAGTGCGAGAGGGTGATAGGAGAGCGTTAAACCAAGCGGGGGCACCGGGCACCCAGCTGCACCACCTATGCACCCATGAAGCTGGTCCTGGTTTCTGGCTTATTTACTAGTTTCCAGGTTCCAAGTTCTGAAGGTATTTGGAGCCTGCACGGTGGGTCCAGTGTTAGGACTGTGATGTTAGCACCTTGGGGCAGTATCTGGGCAGAGCTGTGGAGAGGATGTCGCAGGACGGATGGCTCATTGAGCATTCTCAGCGTCTCTCCACCTTCTCAGTGATTCATCAATGCGGCAGCGGCTGCTGCTGCTGCGTGGTTCACGTCAGCTTTGTCATTGGCAGGCAGATGCCTCTTAAGTGAAACCAGCTCTGACTTGGTGTTTTACAAACAGTGCTATTACTATGTATCCAGGTAGACGGGATCAACCTGCAATCACTCCCTGTTCTCCTGCCTTGTAATAATTAACCCCTTCTATCAGGGGACTCTGGGTAATTGTCTTTCCTGTAGACAGCTGGTAATTTGATTGTAGAGATGAGCTGAGAAAGTGGGAATGTGGGAGGGAACCACTTTTCCTATGTCAAGGAACTGGGTTTGGGGAAGCTGGCTTGTGGCATGTGCTGGGACACAGATGAGCAATGGGATCAGGGCCAATCTGGTCACTGCCTAGGTGACTTAGGCTTTTAAAGTGGGTGTTCTCTGCAGGGGAGGCAACACAGGTACTGGATGAGGGATTTCTGGGATCCCTAGGTCATATTCAATGCGAGCATCCCCTAACTGCGTCTCACTATAGGCCAAGGCAGAGGTGCCCAGCACCCCCTTCCCAAGTGCACCCTTGCTCTCTGGCCTTCCACCTCCCAGGTCTTCCACTGAGGGACATGTGGCCCAATGGCTGGGGCACCTGCTCCTATCTGAACCAGACACCACCCCCCGGGTGTGCAAAGCAGCTCAGCATCTTCTCTGCCAAGAAAGGAGAGCTTTGTCCAACTGAAGTGAGGGTGAACTCTGGAACCCTAGGGCGACTAAGAAAGGTCATGTGGTGTGCCCTTCTTGTCCCCAGGAAAGTGAGGGCATCTTTTCCTGACCCTTGGAAGCAGCAATGGTTTATTTAATAGTTTTCTTCCTGGTTTATGAAAAAGGGCCTCATGTGCCTGCCCCTCAGAGCTGAGAGGAAAGTGGGAAGGAGGGAAAGCTGGGGTCCCAAGGGGCCTGGACCCTCAGGGCCTGTGCCTGAGCTCTGTGGGCCTTGTGGGGCAGCCCTTGTAGAAGGCCCTGGGCCTGGGAAGCAGGCTGGGGGTGGGGCTGCTCTTGCTGTCTATGACCTTGGCCAAGAGACTTCACCTTAGAAGGGATCCTTCCTAACGAAGGCTCCAGGCCCGTTTTCCTTTTTTATCCAGATGTTTGGTCCATGCAGATTTGAGGAACACAGTTATCCCTGCTTAACCAAGTCATAAGCTACCCTGTGTCTACTCTGTTACTCCCCAAATGACTTTGAGATGACCTTAGTTGAGGTAGATATTTCCAGTGAGGGTGAGTTAATGGAGCGCATGTTAACACAGGCACAATTTGCTATTTCTTTCTAACTGCTGCAGAAAAGACCTAATTAATGACACTCGGGGGGCGGGGGGGAGGTGGGTTGAGTTCCATCCATTCTGAGGGAAGCTTTAACTTCTCCCAGATAACCACAGTGGTTTTGCATAGAAGACTCAGACTGGTCACCCTTTTCCTTATTATCAAAAGCAGCTGCGCAGCCGCTGACTCTCTGTGATCCTGGGTGACCCTTCTTTTCTCTGGGTTTCCACTGCCCGGCTGCACCTGCACAAGTAGATGGACCTGGATGAGCCCACCTCCTTAGACGGGTCCGTAGGTGAGGAACTTGGGCAGGACTGCGGGGCAGGGGCAGGCAGTCGTGGGATGGTCCGTCTGTCAAGGGAGCTAGTCTAGAAGCTCTTGCAGGCAAGTACTTAGAAGCTGCTTTTCTCCACTCGCAGGGAGAAACTTGGGTGCTGACCCAATGCTCTGACAGTAGGTTTTCTAGGGAAGACTGGTGAGCGCCCTTGTTGTGAGCAAGGGCATCCCCCACCATCACATATTGGCAATGACAGCTTGTTCTCACTAGGGCCTGTCTGCCCCCGTCTCTACCATTTCCTGAGGGCTTAGCATGGGAAAGGCGCTGCACTGAGAGACCAACACATACAACAACCCCTTTGGGAATGTGTCATTATTTACTCCATTTTACAGGAGGAGTGTTGAGGTTCAGAGAAGTTAGATAACTTGCTCAAGGTCCCACAGCTAGTGGCAGAGCTGGGATTCTACCCCAGGCACTTGACTCTGAAGCTCAAACTCAGATGCACCAAACCATTTGGTGCATTCTTCTGTTAAGCCTCTCTTTAAAGAACCATCAAATTGAATGTCCCCTTCTCTGAGCCATAACCATCTGATTCTTATCATCATGAGACCAGATTCAAAGGCAGAGATGGCTTAAAGGATTTTTAAGTGCCAAGTAATACCCTGGGTTTACCCACACTGCTCCACATGCCTTGGGTGGAGATAGGAGTCAGTCTTCTGGATGAACCAGGACTTGGTGGGAGTTGCCCTCTCCTTGTTCTAGGCATGCTTCCCATGCCGGATTCTACCACTGCAACCAGGGGACCAGACCAGGGCTGGGGAAGGAGGTGGTGGTGAATCTTATCCTTTCTGTGGCTTTTCTCAGGGAAAAATTGTGGACATCCAGTCAGGGGGGACACTGAAGGCGAATATTTTTCATTCAAATTTTTTTTTATAGAAATACGAAAAGGCACGCAAACATGGTTTTTAGACTTTCACAGAACTTCTCTGTCCAGCTTTTGGGAAAGGACATCTAAATTCAGAAGGTCATATGCCTAGAACATAGTCCACCCCACTGCAGCGTGGTCCTTCCCCAGGGTCTCCCAGCAGATTATTCCAGATCTCCACCCTGGAGAAGGGTTAGCTGGCTCTCTCACCTCTGTGTGGGCTCGAGTGATTGGAGTGAGCGTGCCTGGTGAGGACTGTGTCCTCCACTTCACAGACACAGAGGCTGAGGCTCAGGGAGGTGCAGACAGAAGTTGCAGCCA